GGCGCCGCGGTAATTCCCAAATTCCCACCAAAAGGACACAGGAGAGGGATTCTGGCAGAGTTCTTCTCTTTCCTCAAGCCTGGAGTGGCTGGCTAGAGCAGAGGGTAGAGGGATTAAGTGAAATTAAAAGTAGGTTTTTGTTGAAGGCCTTCAATAGGTGCACCTTGGGTAGTTAAGGCCTCCCAGAGGTTACACCCTAAAAGGACACAGGAGAGGGATTCTGGCAGAGTTCTTCTCTTTCCTCATGCCTGGAGTGGCTGGCTAGAGCAGAGGATAGAGGGATTAAGTGAAATTAAAAGCAGGTTTTTATTGAAGGCCTTCAATAGGTGCACCTTGGGTAGTTAAAGCCTCCCAGAGGTTACACCGAGGTGTTGGTGGTGAGTTTTTCACACTTTTATAAGTCTGGTGTATTTACATAACAGGGGTTAATCCTCCAATTACAGCCTCAGGTAATGGAGTTACTCACTCCAATTACAGCCTCAGGTAATGGAGTTATTTACTCCAAGTTTGCCCCCCTAAATTCACTGCTGTTTACATCTCTAGCAGCTTGAGTCAGGTGTCCTTGAGTTTCAGAGAGGAATTGTTTTATTTAAATAAAATGGGAGAACAGCAGCTGACAGGCTGTGGAGTTGTAGAGTTATAGCATAAAGCAGTACAGGATCTGAAAAATATAAAAGCTAAATCCTAAGGCATACCTGTGAAACACCAGATGACTTTCCTTCAGTGGAGATTTGGGACATGGTCCAACCTCCCTCCCTCCCTCTCCCAGTGGGATCCTGCCTCTGCTCTGCCCATGTGGAATCTCCTTTTCCCTCTTCCTACCCCCAACACCCCCGTGCTCTACCCTGCCACATCCTTTATTGGGATGGAAAATGAGCCTGGGGAGGGGGGAACGCTCAGGGTGGGTCCCTGAGCCCCCCCTGGGTGGGTGGGAGATGCTGCTCTGAGTCAGGGGGTGTTTCCAGGCGAGCCCCCCCGGTGGATCCCGAGATCCTGCGCACCATGAAGAAGGTGGGGTTCATCGGCTACGCCCCAAACCCCAGGACCAAGCTCCGTAACCAGGTACCCACTGCCAGGAGGGGATTTTGGGAGGGTGGAGCTCTGCAGCCTGGGAGGGGATGGAGCTCTCTGTGTGCTGAGGGATCCCCAAGGTTTCAGGACAAAAGGTGGAATCCCATCCCATTCCCTTGGTGGAGTTTGGAGGTGGCAGATTCTCCTGAGCAGGGCAGGGGATGGAGTTTTCCCAGTTCCATCCCTCCGTGGCTCTGAGGGCAGGGAAGGTCTGAGCTGTTGGGAGGTTCATGGCACGTCCCTCAGCCTTGGGAAAACACTGCCCTGTGCTTTCCCACGGTGACAAATCCCTGCGAGCAGGAAGGTGTGGAGGCCTCGTGCAGGTCCAGGGAGGGCCCCACTCTGCCCTGGTGGATCCCTTTGCTCATTCAGGGAGGCAGGAAAGCCCGCGAGTTGCTTGTGGGGTTTCTCCCCACCTCAGGGCTCAGCTGCTCACCCCTTCTCTCTCCCTGCTCCAAGATTCCTTATAGGTTAAAGGAGATGGACAACGAGTTTGACAACTTCAGCCAAGTCCCCGAGTCCCCCATCGGGCGTGAGGAGGAGCCACATCTCTACAGGGTGGCCAAGAAGTACAGGAAGGTGGTGGCCTTGGGGGGCTGCTCTGGGGCACAGTGGGGAAAAGGCTCCATGGGGAGCACCACCAGGTGAGGTGTTTGTTTCACTTGTCACATCTCTGCTCAGGTCACCATCAAATACTCCAAGCTGGGGCTGGAGGATTTTGACTTCAAGCATTACAACAAGACGCTGTTTGCGGGGCTGGAGCCCCACATTCCCAACGCCTACTGCAACTGCATGATCCAGGTGGGAGCTGTCCCAGTCCCAGCCAGACCCCCGTGGCCCCCCCAGAGCCCCCCTGACTGCTGGCTCTCTCCCAGGTGCTCTATTTCCTGGAGCCAGTTCGCTGCCTGGTCCAGAACCACCTGTGCCAGAAGGAATTCTGCCTGGGCTGCGAGCTGGGCTTGCTCTTCCACATGCTGGACCTGTCCCGAGGAGACCCCTGCCAGGTCTGCGCTGGGCTGGGCTGCCCAGGGGATGGCAGAGGAACGGGAGTGGTGCTGAGCAGGCAGATGGAAACTCCTGTCACTTGACCTTGGTGACATTGCTCTTGCCCCGTGCCCAGGGAAGCAATTTTCTGCGGGCTTTCCGCACGATCCCCGAGGCGTCGGCGCTGGGCTTGATCCTGGCAGACTCAGATGAAGCCACGGGGAAGGTGAACCTGGGGAGGCTGATTCAGAGCTGGAACCGTTTCATCCTGACTCAGCTGCACCAGGAAACCCAGGAGCAGGAGGCACCCCAAGCCTACCGGGGGGCTGGCGGCAGGTGAGGCCCTGGCATGGGGATGGCACAGGGAATGAGCCAAGCTGGGGAGGGGGACTGGTCACCAGAGACCCCACCCATCCCTCAGGACGTTTTATTGCCACTCATGCCCTGAGGGATCCATGGGAACTGCAGCTCTTCACATATTTTAACCCTGTGCTGAGCCTCTGCCCCGCTAAAATCTGTTTAGAGGCTTGAGGCTTTACAGAGGGGCTTGGAAGGCTGGGACTGCTCAGATGGCTGATTCCCCGAAATCTGCTGGAATTTGGGAGCTGTGGGTCCTCAGCCTAGGGATCCCTGCTGATCCCAGTGCTGTTTTTCCAGCAGCTTTGGCTCCTCGGGGGACTCTGTGATCGGGCAGCTGTTCAGCTGTGAGATGGAGAACTGCAGCATGTGCCGCTGTGGGAAGGAGACTGTCCGTGTGTCCTCCACGCTGCTCTTCACCCTCTCCTACCCCGACAGCACCGGTAACAGCAGGGCCCAGCCCCCTCTGCTGGGTGGGGTTTGTTATCCAGGATTTTTCCAGCTGGAACACACCCACAGCCAGGAGCTGCCTCAGCTCCAGGAATGGGTTTCCAACCAGTGGAGCGTTTGGCTTCCAAAAGACATTTTTGGGGCTTGACCTTCTGGCTGGTGGTTGCGAGGAAAACCCCAGAGGTTTGGCTGAGCTCAGCTGGTCAAGGTTTGTGTGCTGGAGAGGTGACGTTATTCTCCTTTCTCCCTCCAGAAAAACCAGCCAAGGATTACGAGTTCGCCCAAATTTTAAAGCGTAGCATCTGCTTGGAGCAGAACACCCAAGCCTGGTGTGAGAACTGTGAGAAGTACCAGCCCACGGTGAGCCTGGCACGGGGGGACAGGCACGGGGGGCTGTGGGGACACGGGCATGAAGGGGGCAGTTTCTCCCTGAGTCACCAGGGAACTCGTCCTGAGCGGATGCCAGAGATTTGGTTCCTGGCCCGGCTGGCAGCCGTGGGGTATTTCCTGGGCTCTGTGAATTCCTCTCACAGGGGCAAGGATTCAGCAGGGAGAAACAACCCCCCAGGAGCTGCTGGAGCAGCTCTGGTGTCCTGGAAGTGCCCCCAGGACTGCAGCCAGGCAGGGGAGGAAGCACTGCAGGCCAAGGCGGTGGCAGATGTCCCAAATCCCGCTCGGAGCCTCTCCAGGGCTCTCATTCCCACCTCTCCCTCTCCCTGCAGGTGCAGACCAGGAACATCCGCTGCCTGCCAGACGTGCTGGTCATTAACTGTGAGGTGAACAGCTCCAAGGAGGCAGATTTCTGGAAGACACAGGCTGAGGTGGGGGAGACACTCCGGGGCCGGTTGTCCCGGCACGCGGGGGTTGCGGTGCCCGGCCCCGCCGAGGTTTTCACTCTGCTCTCGCTGTCTCTGGCCTCTCTCCCTCCACCTGAGGACCTGGTGCCGTTGGGTCGTGCCTGGGGCATGGTCTGTGCCTTTGGAGTTGGAAAACACGAGATCTCCTGGCGTGGCAGAGCTGAAGGGACTGCAGGAGTGACTTTGTCCTTCCCCCACCCCCCCGAGAGCACCTTGGGACATTGGGTTTCCCTTGCTTTTTCCCTGTCACCAGTTTTAGTATCCCTGTGTTTTACCTGCTCCTGGCCTGGCTGTCACCCACGTGTCCCCAGGGCTGGCCTGTCACCGTGTGCTGACGCTTGCCTGTGTTTCGTTGCCAGTATTCCTTTCAGAAAGCCATGATGAAGAGAGGAGGTTTTGACATCACCAAGGGAAAGGAGATCTCTCTTGGAGACTGGTAGGTGACCATTCAGGAGGAATTTCTTCATGGAAAGAGTTTGGACATGCCCAGGGAGGTGGTGGAGTCACCATCCCTGGAGGTGGCCAAGGAATGAGTGGATGTGGCACTCTGGTCTGGGTGACAGGGTGGGGATTGGCCAGAGGTTGGACTTGATGGCCTTGGAAAGCTTTTCCAACCTCAAGGATTCTGGGATTCTGTTCCTGGGCTGGCACCTCTGAGCAGTGACACCTCCTGGGTGATTCTCTGGGCTGTTTCTCATGTAAATAATGTTGATTTGATAACCTGCCTGTCTGAGGCTGCACCACATCCCCTTTGTCACCCACCTCGTGCCCCTTTTGTAACTGACAAAAGCCCCAAAACCACATTGGCTCAGCACTTCTCCCAGAGTCCTGCTCCAGGCAGCTCCAGCTTCCTACAGAAATTTCAGGAATCAGCTGGGCAGCGGGTGGGTGGGAGTCCTGGCCTGGGTGACATCTCCCTCCAGCTCAGCTTTCCATGATTCCCCGTGCAGGAAGGATCTGGGGAACCCCGACACGGGGCATTCGTATCCTTCCGTGGAGGAACTGAAGAACATTTGGATCCCTCACGCCATCAAGATGAGGTTGACCAAGAGCAAAGAGCTCGACGTGAGCAACTGGAGCGAGACTGATGAGGTAAAGTGACAGAATCACCGTGGGTGAGGTGACAAAATCACTGTGGGTGAGGTGACAGAGTCACCGTGGGTGAAGTCACAGAATCGCCGTGGGTGAAGCGACAGAGGCACGTGGGGCTGTGGGAGCAGAGCTGCCTCAGAACCACTTTCTGCTGAGAGATGATGAGGAGATAACTCAGGGGAGCACGGAAATATCCGGGCTGGTGGTTTGGGGGCTCGGACATTCCCGGTTCCTCCCGCAGCTGAGCCCAACAGACGACCCCGAGTCCGTGTACATCTACGACCTCATGGCCACCGTTGTCCACATCCTGGATTCCCGCACGGGGGGCAGCCTGGTGGGGCACATCAAGGTGGGAGAGACCTACCACCAGCGGAAGGAGGTGAGACCCTGCAGGACCCCCACGGTACCCACCAGCTCCTGGGAGCCCCCCCCGAGGGAGATCTGTCATTCCTGGCTCTCTCAGCCAAGTGTGGAGGGTTTGGCTGAACGTGCCAAAAGCTGCTGGGGCCCCTCACGGGGAGGGAAGGGTTGAAGAAATCTTCTTCCCACACCCTCTCAGGCTGGTTCCTCTTGGCCACGGGCACTGTGCCAGCTTGTCCTTGTACTTCCAGGTAAGGCCAGGGACGTCATCTCCCTTCCCGAGGAAAGGGCTGGTCTGGGCAGTCCTGGTTTCTGCTGGAGATGCCCAAGGCAGGAGTTCCCAGAGTGTGTCAAGGCTCCATGCCTGTCTCTTATCTCTTGCATCTCCCTGGAGTTTTGCTCAGGAGCTGGGCAGAGCCCGGAGCCCGTCCAGCCCAATCCTTTCTCGTCCTCTGTCACCACCCAGGGCAGCAGGGATTTCCCCACGGTGTCCCAGGAAGGGCGGGGGTTCCCACATGGCACCGTCACACCCTCCTTTCCCTGGTAACTGGGCAGAGGAGTCACTGCTCTGGCCTGGGGGGGCCCCTAAGGCTGTGCCTTTCCCCCCCCAGGGAGTCACACACCAGCAGTGGTACCTCTTCAACGACTTCCTCATCGAGCCCGTGGACAAGGTGAGTGCCGAGGTGACACCGTGGCCACCCCGTGGAGCCACGCTTGCTGTCCCTGACCGTCCCCCCGTCCCCTGCAGTGCGAGGCTGTGCAGTTTGACATGAGCTGGAAGGTGCCAGCCATCCTCTACTACGCCCGGAGGAACCTCAACGCCAAGTACAACCTCGTCAGTGAGTGCCCCCGGCGTGGAAGCGGCGGCGGGGCCGGCGCCGCCGCGGCCGCACCGCTGAGCTCCTTCCCCTTTTCCCTGCACAGTCAAGAACCCCATCGAGGCCAACGTGCTGCTGGCCGAGGCCTCGCTGGCCCGCAAGCAGCGCAAGTGCCACGCCACCTTCATCCCCCTCATGCTCAACGAGATGCCCCAGGCTGGAGACCTGGTGGGGCTGGACGCCGAGTTCGTCACGCTGAACGAGGTGGGGGAGTGGGGGAGCCCCCTCTGGCTGGGGACAAGGGGACAGGCATGGCCCCTCTGGGCTTGTTGGTCACCACGTGTCCCGTCCTTGGTGGCAGGAGGAGGCTGAGCTGCGCAGTGATGGCACCAAGTCCACCATCAAGCCCAGCCAGATGTCGGTGGCCCGGATCACCTGCGTGCGTGGGCAGGGCCCCAACGAGGGCGTGCCCTTCATCGATGACTACATCTCCACCCAGGAACAGGTATGGGGGCCCACCTGGCCTCGCGCAGCTCCCCAGGCCACCAGGAGGGACATGGGCCTGCTCTACAGGTGACAGTGACCTCATCTGGGCACGTGTGTGTTGTCCGTGGTGACCTCACTTGGACACCTCTGTGTTCTCCATGGTGACCTAATCTGGGCTCCTCTGTGTTCCCCATGGTGACCTCACCTGGGCTCCTGTGTGTTCCCCATGGTGACCTAATCTGGGCTCCTCTGTGTTCCCCATGGTGACCTCACTTGGACACCTCTGTGTTCTCCACGGTGACCTCACCTGGGTACCTGTGTTCTCCACGGTGACCTCATTTGGGTACCTGTGTTCTCCATGGTGACCTCACCTGGACACCTGGATGCTCCCCATTAATTCCTCTGTCCTCCATGGTGACCATATCTGGACACCTGTGTGCTCCCCGTGGACAGCTGGGTGCACCCTATGGACACCTGGCTGCTCTCCAGGCACTCCTTTGTCCCCTTTGGTAACCTTACCTGGACTCCTGTGTTCTCCATGGTGACCTCACTTGGACACCCACCCAGCTGGGTGCTCTCCATGGACACCTGGGTGCTGACCATGGACACCTGGGTGCTGACCATGGACACCTGGGTGCTCTCCATGGACACCTGGGTGCTCTCCATGGATACCTGTTGCTCTCCATGAACACCTGGGTGCTGACCATGGCCTCCTGGGTGCTCTCCATGAACACCTGGGTGCTCTCCATGGATACCTGTTGCTCTCCATGAACACCTGGGTGCTGACCATGGCCTCCTGGGTGTTCCCCTGTGTCCTCTGTGGTGACCTCACCTGGACTCCCATGTCCTCCATGGTCACCTGGGGCTGTTGTCCTACACCACCAGCCCCCTCCCCAGGGTGCTGAGAGGGCAATTGGGGAGGGGGCAGAGCCCCTGGGCCCTGCAGCCCCTTCCAGGTGCCCTGGTCTCCACAGGTGGTGGATTACCTGACCCAGTACTCGGGGATCAAGCCAGGAGACCTGGATGCCAAGATCTCCTCCAAGCACCTGACCACCCTCAAATCCACCTACCTGAAGCTTCGTTTCCTCATCGACGTGGGCGTCAAGTTCGTGGGCCACGGGCTGCAGAAGGATTTCCGTGTCATCAACCTGATGGTGACAGCCTGACCCCCTCCCTGGCCACGGTGGGGGGCTGGGGTGGGGCTGGGAGGGGTCGGGCCGGCTCCCTGTGCCCCCCCCTGCCCCGACAGCAGGACCCTGTCCCCTCCCCAGGTGCCCAAGGACCAGGTGATCGACACCGTGTACCTGTTCCACATCCCGAGGAAGAGGATGATCTCCCTGCGCTTCCTCGCCTGGTACTTCCTGGGTCGGTAACGGAACTCCGGGATCCGGGAAGGGGCGGATCCCCCCCCACCCGCCGCCCCCGAGGGTCCCCCCGCTGAGCCAGGGGTGTCCCCGCAGACCTGAAGATCCAGGGGGAGACCCACGACAGCATCGAGGACGCTCGCACGGCGCTGCAGCTGTACCGCAAGTACCTGGAGCTGAGCCCGCAGGGCGCGGAGCCCGAGGAGTTCCGGAAGGTGCTCAAGGGGCTCTACGAGAAGGGCCGCAAGCTGGACTGGAAGGTGCCCGAGCCCGACAGCCAGAGCAGCCCCAAGCGTAAGATGTCACCGCTGTCCCCTCCCCGTGTCCCCTGTCCCCTCCCCGTGTCCCCTCTCCGCTCCCCGTGTCCCCTCTCTCACCCCTTGCCGTATCTCACCCCGCTGTGTCCCCGCAGTCGGGGCAGTGTTCCCTCCTGGCTGCTGCCCCCTCCCCCTGTCCCCTCCCTGTGTCCCCTGTCCCCTCCCCGTGTCCCCTCTCCCCTCCCCGTGTCCCATCTCACCTTGCTGTGTCACTTCTCACCCCATCGTGTCCTCGCAGATGGGGCCGTGTTCCCCCCTGTACCCTCTCCCCCCACGGTGTCCTACGTCCCCTCCCCGTGTTCCGTGTCCCCTCCCCGTGTCCCCTCTCCCCTCGCTATGTCCCCTCTCACTCCAGTGTCCCCTCTCCCCCTGCCGTGTCCCCTCTCCCCGTCATGTCCCCTCTCCCCTCCGTGTGTCCCCTGTCACCCCCGTGTCCCCTCTCCCCCCTGCTATGTCCCCTATCACCCCCGGTGTCCCCTCTGTCACCCCGGTGTCCCCTGTCACCCCCGTGTCCCCTCTCCCCCTGTTATGCCCCCTGTCACTCCCGGTGTCCCCTCTCCCCGCCATGTCCCCTCTCACCCCCGTGTCCCCTTTCCCCGTGTTATGTCCCCTGTCATCCCCGTGTCCCCTCTCCCTGCCATGTCCCCTGTCACCCCCCGTGTCCCCTCTCCCCTCCATATCCCCTGTCACCCCCCGTGTCCCCTCTCCCCCCTGCTTCCCCTCTCACTCCAGTGTCCCCTCTCCCCCTGCCGTGTCCCCTCTCCCCGCCATGTCCCCTCTCCCCCCTGGTGTCCCCTCTCCCCTCCATGTCCCTGTCACCGCGCTGTCCCCGCAGACGGGGCCGTGTTCCCTCCGGTGCTGGCGCTGTGACCGGAGCCCCCGCGAGGAGCAGCGCCGGGAGAGGCGGCCACGCGTGGAACTGGAACCAGCAGCGGGACCGGGGCTGTCCCCGACCCGCCCGACCCCCGCCCCGGGCCCGGTGCCCCGGGGCTCCCCTTTCCCTGCCGGTACCGGGAAGCACTGCCCGACCCCCGCCCCGCTCGCCCGCCGGCCCGGGCGCCCTTATAAAGAACCTCGGACCCCCGTGCGACCGTGTCCTGCTTGGCTCCGGGGGGCGGCACCGGGGCACGGCACGGAGGAGCCGAACCGGGACCGGGACCGGGCACAGAGCAAGGAGGGGGCTGGCACCGGGGACACGGCAGGAATCACCGGGGCCGGGGCTGGGAGCAGGGACACGGTGCAGAGGAGCCGGCTTGGGGCTGGCACCGGGGCACGGCAGGAATCACCGGGACCGGGCTCGGAACGGGACCAGCACCGGGGCAGCGCAGGACGGACTCGGTCTAGTGCTCAGACCGGCGGGACGGACCGGGACCGAACCGGGAGCACGGCGGGACGGACCAGGACCCACGTTCGGTCCGGGGCTCAGACCGGGGCACGGCGGGACGAAGCCCGGTCCCGGTGTTCCGCTCCCGGTCCCGGTTCCGATCCCGGGTCGCGGCTGAGCCAGGGTGGGGGCGTGGCCAGATCGATCAAGTGGGCGGGGTCACGTCAGACCCCGCCCACTCGGGGCCGAGCGCCACGCGGCCGGGCCCTGGCAACGGCGGGGCCCTCGGCGCCCGTCCGGGGCTGCCCTCTGCGCCGCCTGCTCGCGGGACGGCCCCGCCGCGGCCCGAGGAGCCGCTCTTGCTGGTCTGACCGGTCCGACCGGCTCCGTCGCCCGTCGCGGCTCGGCCGCCGCCCGCTCCGAGCGGCCGTGACCCGCGGTGGTGCGGGCCGGGAGGGTGCGCCGGGAGCGGCGGCGCCGCGGGCAGTCCCGGGGCAGCCGGTGGTTGTGAGGGGCGGTGGGAGCGGGACGGGAGAGCGGCCGGTACGGGGGGCGCAGGACGGGGTGGGGGGGCTGGACCGGGCCCGGGGCTCGGATGGCGGCGCGGCTCGGGACCGGGTCCGGGATCAGAGAGCTTCGGGAAGGCGATGGGCTCGGCCCTGAGGGCGAACGGCTCCATAGGGGCTGTGGGGGCATCCCGAAGGGGAGGGGGCTCTGTGAGGGCGGCTGAGCGCTGCCCTATAGGGGAGGGGGCTTTGGCCTCTGCCCTGTAGGGGAGGGGGCTCTGTGAGGGCGGCTGAGCGCTGCCCTATAGGGGAGGGGGCTCTGGGCTGTGCCCTATGGGGAGGAATCCCTGTAAGGGCTCTGCCCTATGGGGAGGGGTCCCTGTAGGGGCTCCGGGCTCTGCCCTGTAGGGGAGGGGGCTCTGTGAGGGCGGCTGAGCGCTGCCCTATAGGGGAGGGGGCTCTGGGCTGTGCCTTATGGGGAGGGGGCTCTGTAGGGGCTCTGCCCTGTAGGGAAGAGGGCTCTGTGGAACTCTGGGCTGTGCTCTATAGGGGAGGAATCCCTGTAAGGGCTGTGCCCTATGGGGAGGGGTCCCTGTAGGGGCTCCGGGCTCTGCCCTATAGGGGAGGGGGCTCTGTGGGGGCTGTGCCCTATGGGGAGGGGTCCCTGTTAGGGTTGTGCCCTATAGGGGAGGGGGCTCTGTGGGGTCTCTGCCCTATGGGGAGGGGTCCCTATGGGGTCCAGCGGCACTAACGGGACTCAGAGCGGACCGGGAAGGGGAACGCCGTGGATGAAGCCCTGCAGGGAACGGGGGTCCCGGCGGGGGCCGGGCAGGCGTGGCCCTTGGGTGGGACGAGGTGTGGGGACAGCGGGGCCACCACCGCTGGAGCCGCCCCGTGCCCGCAGGTGACAGCGGAGCCCTGAGGATGCGGGGCCGGATCCCGGGAATCTGCGGAGCCCCGGGGATGCGGGGCCGGATCCCGGCCCTGCTCGGCCTGGCCCTGGCCTTGGCATCGCTGCTGCCAGCGGCTGGAGCGCGCCGGAGCCAGGACCTGCACTGCGGAGGTGTGAGGGGACACGGGGACAAGGGGGGGACACGGGGGACCAGGTGGGATGGGGACAGTGGGGACAGGTGGGAAATGGGGGAAAAGGGGGGACAGGGACATTGGGGACAGGATGGGACAGTGGGGACAGGTCAGGACAGGAAAGAAATGGGAGAAAGGGAGGACAGGGATGATGGGGACAGGGCAGGACAGGTGGGAAAAGAGGGAAAAGGGAGGACAGGGACATGGGGACAGGATGGGATGGGGCAACAGTGGGGACAGGGCAGGACAGGGACAATGAGGACAGGGGGAGCAGGGCAGGACAGGTGGGAATTGGGGGGAAAGGGAGGACAGGAACATTCAGGACAGGATGGGACAGGGGAACAGTGGGGACAGGGTGGGAAAGGGAGGACAGGGACATGGAGACAGGATGGGACAGGGGAACAGGGACAGAGGAGACAGCAAGACAAGAGAGGGGACAGGCACAGGGCTTGGGGGTCTCCACTGGGACCAGCTGGACCCCCAGTGTCCCCCAGGGGGACAGGCTGGGGGTCTCCAGCCCATGGGGACCCTCCCCACGCACTCTCCATCCCAGCGTGCCCCAGTCACACCAGTGTGGCTCTGGGCAGCCGCAGGAGCACACGTGCCAGGTGTCCCTTGTCACCGTGTCCCACAGCCTGCCGGGCGCTGGTGGACGAGCTGGAGTGGGAGATCGCCCAGGTGGACCCCAGAAAAACCATCCAGATGGACAGTGGGGACAGGTCAGGACAGGAAAGAAATGGGAGAAAGGGAGGACAGGGATGATGGGGACAGGGCAGGACAGGTGGGAAAAGAGGGAAAAGGGAGGACAGGATGGGACAGGGGAACAGGGACAGAGGAGACAGCAAGACAAGAGAGGGGACAGGCACAGGGCTTGGGGGTCTCCACTGGGACCAGCTGGACCCCCAGTGTACCCCAGGGGGACAGGCTGAGGGTCTCCAGCCCATGGGGACCCTCCCCACACACTCTCCATCCCAGCGTGCCCCAGTCACACCAGTGTGGCTCTGGGCAGCCGCAGGAGCACACGTGCCAGGTGTCCCTTGTCACCGTGTCCCACAGCCTGCCGGGCGCTGGTGGACGAGCTGGAGTGGGAGATCGCCCAGGTGGACCCCAGAAAAACCATCCAGATGGGCTCGTTCCGCATCAACCCCGACGGCAGCCAGTCGGTGGTGGAGGTGAGGCCCCTCCCAGGGACCCCGCGGACCCGAACAGGGACAGAGGAGACAGCAAGACAAGAGAGGGGACAGGCTTGGGGGTCTCCACTGGGACCAGCTGGACCCCCAGTGTACCCCAGGGGGACAGGCTGAGGGTCTCCAGCCCATGGGGACCCTCCCCACACACCCTCCATCCCAGTGTGCCCCAGTGTGGCTCTGGGCAGCCGCAGGAGCACACGTGCCAGGTGTCCCTTGTCACCGTGTCCCACAGCCTGCCGGGCGCTGGTGGACGAGCTGGAGTGGGAGATCGCCCAGGTGGACCCCAGAAAAACCATCCAGATGGGCTCGTTCCGCATCAACCCCGACGGCAGCCAGTCGGTGGTGGAGGTGAGGCCCCTCCCAGGGACCCCGCGGACCCCTGCCCGGGCCCCTCCCGGTGTCCCTGCTCCCGGGGCTGCTCCCGGGGATGCCACTGACCCCTGCCCGGGGGCCTCTCCCGGTGTCCCTGCTCCCGGGGATCCCGCTGACCCCTGCCCGAGGCCCCTCCCGGTGTCCCTGCTCCCGGGGCTGCTCCCGGGGATGCCACTGACCCCTGCCCGGGGGCCTCTCCCGGTGTCCCTGCTCCCGGGGATCCCGCTGACCCCTGCCCGAGGCCCCTCCCGGTGTCCCTGCTCCCGGGGCTGCTCCCGGGGATGCCACTGACCCCTGCCCGGGGGCCTCTCCCGGTGTCCCTGCTCCCGGGGATCCCGCTGACCCCTGCCCGAGGCCCCTCCCGGTGTCCCTGCTCCCGGGGCTGCTCCCGGGGATGCCACTGACCCCTGCCCGGGGGCCTCTCCCGGTGTCCCTGCTCCCGGGGATCCCGCTGACCCCTGCCCGAGGCCCCTCCCGGTGTCCCTGCTCCCGGGGCTGCTCCCGGGGATGCCACTGACCCCTGCCCGGGGGCCTCTCCCGGTGTCCCTGCTCCCGGGGATCCCGCTGACCCCTGCCCGAGGCCCCTCCCGGTGTCCCTGCTCCCGGGGCTGCTCCCGGGGATGCCACTGACCCCTGCCCGGGGGCCTCTCCCGGTGTCCCTGCTCCCGGGGATCCCGCTGACCCCTGCCCGAGGCCCCTCCCGGTGTCCCTGCTCCCGGGGCTGCTCCCGGGGATGCCACTGACCCCTGCCCGGGGGCCTCTCCCGGTGTCCCTGCTCCCGGGGATCCCGCTGACCCCTGCCCGAGGCCCCTCCCGGTGTCCCTGCTCCCGGGGCTGCTCCCGGGGACGCCACTGACCCCAACATGGTGCCTCTCCCGGTGTCCCCACTCCCGGGGCCATTCCTGGGCACCCCGCTGACCCCTGCCCGGGGGCCTCTCGGTGTCCCTGCTCCCGGGGACCCCTCTGACCCCTGCCCGGGGCCCCTCCCGGTGTCCCTGCTGAGCCCAGCCCAGGGCCACTCCTGGTGTCCCCGCTCCTGGTGTCCCCACCGACCCCTGCCTGGGGGCCTCTCGGTGTCCCTGCTCCCGGGGATCCCGCTGACCCCTGCCCGGGGCCCCTCCCGGTGTCCCTGCTCCCGGGGCTGCTCCCGGGGACCCCACTGACCCCAACATGGGGCCCCTCCCGGTGTCCCCGCTCCCGGTGTCCCCTGCCGGGGCCCCTCCCGGTGTCCCTGCTCCCGGGGCTGCTCCCGGGGACCCCACTGACCCCAACATGGGGCCTCTCCCGGTGTCCCCACTCCCGGGGCCATTCCTGGGGACCCCGCTGACCCCTGCCCGGGGGCCTCTCGGTGTCCCTGCTCCCGGGGACCCCTCTGACCCCTGCCCGGGGCCCCTCCCGGTGTCCCTGCTCCCGGGGATCCCGCTGACCCCTGCCCGAGGCCCCTCCCGGTGTCACTGCTCCCGGGGCTGCTCCCGGGGATGCCACTGACCCCTGCCCGGGGGCCTCTCCCGGTGTCCCCACTCCTGGGGCCGATTTCGGGGACTCCCCTGAGCCCAGCCCGGGGGCCTCTCCCGGTGTCCCCGCTCCTGGTGTCCCCACTGACCCCTGTCCGGGGCCTCTCCCGGTGTCCCCGCTCCCGGTGTCCCCTGTGACCCCTCCCCGGTGCCGCAGGTGCCGTACGCCCGTTCCGAGGCGCACCTGACGGAGCTGCTGGAGCGGGTGTGCGAGAAGATGAAGGAGTACGGCGAGAAGCTGGACCCGGCCACGCAGCGCAAGAGCTACGTCCGCGTCATCTCCCACGACGGCACCAAGATGGACCTGTCCGGGCTCAAATTCGACGGGGACGTCACCTCCAGCCTGAAATTCGCGGTGTGTGAGGGGACAGGGGAGTCCTGGGGGGGCGTGGGTGGGACGGGGGGTGTCCCACGGGCTGGCGGTGTCACCGGTGTCACCGTTGCAGTGCGAGAGCATCGCTGAGGAGTACGAGGACGAGCTCATCGAGTTTCTGTCGCACGAGGCTGAGAACGTCAAGGACCGGCTGTGCAGCAAGAGGACGGGTGAGATGGGGGGGCTGGGGGGCTCTGCTGCTGCTCCCGGGGCTGTGGCTGCTCCCTTGGTGCTGGGTGAGCTGAGCCGAGCTGAGCTGAGCCGAGCTGAGCTGAGCCGAGCTGAGCTGAGCCGAGCTGAGCCAAGCTGAGCTGAGCTGAGCCGAGCTGAGCCGAGCTGAGCTGAGCCGAGCTGAGCTGAGCTGAGACGAGATGAGACGAGATGAGACGAGATGAGATGCCAGCCCAGAGCTGAGTCTGTTCCTGGGGGTCTTTGCTGCTGTCCCAGGGGGTCTCTTCTCCTCTGTCAGTGCTGGGATGGGATTTTCTGCCAGCCCAAAGCTGGGGCTGTCCCAGGGGGTCTCTCCTGCTGTTCCTGGGGGTCTCTCCTGCTCCATCACTGCTGGGATGGGAGGAGATGCCAGTCCAGAGCTGAGTCTGTTCCTGGGGGTCTTTGCTGCTGTCCCAGGGGGTCTCTTCTCCTCTGTCAGTGCTGGGATGGGATTTTCTGCCAGACCACAGCTGGGGATGTCACCGAGGGTCCCTCCTGCTGTTCCTGCGGCCAGGGGTCTCTCCTGCTCTTTCAGTGCTGGGATGGGAATTTCTGCCAGCGCAGGGCAGGGAGGAGTTACAAGTTCTTCCCCAAATCCCAGCAGCCCATGGCAGTGCCCGGACCCTGCTGGCAGCGGGGTTGTTTTGGGATGCTGGGGCCGAGCCAGGGCAGCTGCTGTGCTGACTCTGTGGCCTCTCCTGGCGCATCCAATGGCCCTGTCCCATTCTGGGGCTATTTCCAGCTCACAAACAGCCAGGTCAGGGCACGCTGTGACCTTTGGGCCACTGCAGTCCTGGACGGGGCCCTGGACGGGGCCAGGGCAGGTCCCTTTGTACGTGGCACGGCCATCAGGGCAACGCTCTGCCCCAGGGGATCCTGAGGGTCTCCACAGCTGCTCCTGGGGCTCCTCCTGCAGCGTGGGGGCCAGAGCAGGGACAGCCACATTTGTCATTAACCACAGGACAAAGGCAGGGCAATGCCACTGGCCCCTGCTCAGGGCACAGCAGGGACCGGCCCTGGGAGGGGACAGGGCAGCACAGAGTTCCACAAGGCTCTGATGTGTCCTGAGGGTCCCACAGGGCTGCCATGTTTTGGGGGTCTTGTGGGGGTCTGGGGCATCCTGAGGGTCCCACAAGGCTCTGATGTGTCCTGGGGGTCCCACAGGGCTCCAGCACTGAGGGTCCCACAGGGCTGCTGTGTTCTGGGGGTCTCCCAGGGGTCTGGTGCATCCAGAGGGTCCCGTGGGGTTCCAGCATGTCCTGGGGGTCCCACAGGACTCCAACACTGTGGGTCCCACAGGGCTGCCATGTTTTGGGGGGTCTGGGGCATCCAGAGGGTCCCATGGGGTTCTGATGTGTCCTGAGGGTCCCACAGGGCTCTGATGGGTCCTGAGGGTCCCACAGGGCTGCCGTGCCCTGGGGGTCTAGTATATCCTGAGGGTCCCATGGAGCTCTGACATGTTCTGGGGGTCTTGTGGGGGTCTGGTGCATCTTGAGGGTCCCACAGGGCTGCAGTGTCCTGGGGGTCTCGTGGGGGTCTGGTGCATCCTGAGGGTCCCATGGGGCTCTGGCCATGGAAGGTCCCACAGCTCTGTCACATCCCTGGAGTCCCATGGAGCTCCAGGAGACCCCAAAACTTCCATCGGGCTCCCCCACACCCTGAGGGTCCCCCATGGCTCTGCCACACCCCAATCGTCCCCCGTTGTCCCCGCAGACCTGTGTGACCACGCGCTCCACATCCCACACGACGAGCTGTGACTGCCTCCGGAGCGGGGACCGGGACGGCACCGGGACCCACCGGGAGCCACCGGGACGTCCCCAGCACCCACCGGGACGTCCCCAGGACCCACCGGGACGTCCCCAGGACAGACAGATCTCCGGGACCTCCCCGGTTGCCTCGCCCCGTGCGGAGCTCCCGTCCTATTTATTCCCCGTCCGGGGGCACCGGGACGGCCACGGGGCCGGGGCCACGTTCTTGCTCCTTTTGGGACATTTCAGGGACATTCCTGCCCCGCTGCCGGGGGGCACGGGGACGCAGCGGGGCTCAGCCCCCGCGGGGTGGGGGGTTTGGGGACCCCCCTGTGTTTTGCAGGCAATAAAGGGGCCGTGGGCCCACCCGAGGGCAGCTCTGGTGCGGTGGGTGTGTGTGTGTGTGGGGTGGGGGACAGCAGTGTCCCCACGTGTCCCCAGGGGTTCACCACTCGTGGCTCTGTGTCACCCACTGTGGGGGCACCATGGGGGTCCAGCCCCTCGTTTGTGGCTGGTGACACCCCGTGTCACCCTGTGTCACCTCATGCCATCCACCGTGGGGGTGCTGGCGCTCTGTGTCATCCCACCCCGCCGCTGAGAGGGTTCTGGCCTCTCTGCCGTGGCCTGTGTCACCCCATGTCACCTGGCCAGGGGACAGGAGCAGCAGGAGGGCTCTGCCCCTCTCCTGGCACCCGTTACCCCGTGTCACCCCATGTCACTCCATTGTGTCACCCGTTGCACCGGGGCCAGCAGGACAATGTCCTGGGCTCGGCGGGCATGGTGACATGCCACCTCCTGACGTCACCGCTGAGCCTCATGCCACATCCTAGCGCCTCAAGCCACTGTGGCCACATGCGGGATGACGTCATGGGCTCCAGTGACCTCATACCGCCTGGTGACATCACGGGGCAGCCCCCCCGCCCCCACAGCCAAACCCCACCGAGACACCAGCGCGGCTGCGGGGATGACACCGGCCCGTGACGTCACGCACGGCGGCCGGTGACGTCATGAGACGGGGCGGGCACTCCCTCACCCCACCCCTGGTCCTGATCAGGCGAATGCGGCGGACACCTATAGCTTGCGCCCCCCGCCACTTCATTAGCGTGGCTCCGCCCCACGGCGCGCCTCTTGGCCAATAGAAAACGGCTCTGCCCCAGGAGGGGGCGGGGTTATGCTAATAACCAGCGCCGCGCTCCGCCCCGCCCTCACGTTGAGGACCCCCGGCCGCCGCGGCTCCGGCCCCGCTCCCGCCCCGGCCCCGCTCCCGGTCCCGGCCCCGCTCCCGGTCCCGGCCCCGTTCAGCCCCGGCCTGTCCCGTCCCGGTACCGCCATGACGCTCCTCGCCGCCGGCAGCCGGGCGGCCGCGCGCCTCCGCGGGCCCAAGGTGAGCGCGCCCGGCCCGGCCTCGCCGCGCCGCGCCTTAAAGGGGCGACGCCGCGGGGGGAAGGGAGAGCGGGGGGGGTCCGGTTCTTAAAGGGGCGACGCGGGGGGCGCTGCCTTAAAGGGGCCGCGCGGTGGCGGCGGAGGAGGGGGGATGGGACCGGGGGGACCGGGACCGCGACCGGGATCGGGACCGGGATCGGGACCGGGACAGGGGTGGGCGCGGGGCCGCAGCGACAGCACGTGGTGGGAACCAGCGCCGGGCGCTCCCGCCGCAGCCTTCTCAGAGCCGAGGGCACCGGGAGTGGCTCGGGGGGCTCCGGGCCCGGTCCGTGCCCGGGGGGCTCCGCTGCTGCTTCAGCCCCGTGTGGGGGCAGCCCCGCCGGGCGTCCCGGTCCCGCCGCTCCCCCTCGTTGTACAGCGCCTGGCTTGGGGGGTCCCGGACGCCCCCCGGGAGCCCCGCACCGGCCCCGGGAAGCCGCGCCCGGTGGAACCGGCGGTAGGGGGGGTGGAGGCGGGGACCGTCCCCGCCGCCGCCGCCGCCGCCCTTCCCCAGCGTCTCGGTGCCGTAGAGGACATCGGGGTCACAGCGAGGGGACCCCCGAGCGCCGGTACCGGGCTGGAGCGGCCCCGATCCCTCCGGTGTGTTTGCCTTGGCCGCGGTCCCGGCGTTTCGTAACGGGCGTTGCGGTGTCTTTATCGACCGGGCGATATTTTGGGATATTCCCGATGCCCCACTTGGCCCTGCTCCCCCGTCAAACCGGGGCCGCCCCCCCCCCGGTTTGAGCCGTGATCCCGACCCTCCTCCTCCTCCTCCTCCTCCTGCCGACCCCGCAGCCTCGAAGCGCGGAGCCCCCGCACCCCCGGGCACAACGGGAGCCCCCGGAGGGTCCCCGCACTCCCCCCGCGGCCGGTGCCCGGTGTCACCGCCAGCACGCGTGACCTTGAGCCACTGGCACCTCGGTGACAGCCGGGACGAGCCGTGGGGACCCCCAAAGCGGGGGTGACACGGGGGTGACACTGGGGGTGACACGGCGGGCCGGGGGGGGTGTGACAGCGGCCGCCTTGACCTTGGGCTTCCCGCCGCCGCCTCCATTGTTCCGCCGGCATTTTCCCTTCCCGGAGCCGCCTGTTGCGGGGGGACACGGCCTCGCCACCCGCCACGGCCACACCCGCCCCACCGGGGACCCCCCTGGCCGGCCCGGGGGTGGCGGGGGACCGGGGGACACCCTTTTTGGGGGGGGGTTCTCTGCAGCGCGGGCCCCCCCCGCGTCCTCCCGGCAGGCAGCGGAAAAACCGAGTCATGTTCTGGCTCTGCCGCAGGCGCTGCCGCAGCTCCCGGCCCCGGGGAATCGCCGCGTGTCCCCGTGGATGGCGGCCCCGGTGTCCCCCGGTGTCCCCCGGTGTCCCCCAGCCCGCGGTGCCCAGCGGTGCTGGCGTGCGTTCCCGGGATGTCCCCGCCGGCCGGGAGTCCCCGCGGTTCCCGGTTCCCACGCGTGGGCGAGGAACAAAGTTCGGATTCCCCGGCTCAGGAAAACCGCGGCCGTGCCTGGCCGGGCGCGGCTCCAGGAAGGAGAACGCGGCCGCGTTGTCCCGTGCCAGCTCCGGTCCGGCTGCGAGGGCAGCGCGGGGCCGCCCCGGCTGATCCCTGCTTTGATCCCGGCTTTGATCCCGGCTCTGATCCCGGCTCTGAGCCGCGCCCGCGTGGGCGAGGGAAGCGGCTCCGGCGTCCTTGGGAACCGGGGTCTCACCTGCCGCGGGGCTGGGGGGGCTCCTCTGGCTGCAGCCCCCCAAAAAGAGGCCCTGCCCTGGTGACAGGGGGGTGTCTGTGTCCCTTGTCCCACAGAATGCGCCGTGTGTCCTCTTCGCTGCTCGCCACGCCAGCGCCGCCACGGTAAGGGGGGGTCCCCTCCTGTGACCCCTGTCCTGTCACCTGCTCTCTTCTCCTGACACCTCTTCCCTGTGGCTGCCACTCCTGAGACCCCTCTCCAAGAGGAGACCCTTCACTTTTCATGCTCTTTCCTGTCCCTGTCTCTCTTGTCACCCCCTCTGTCATGACTCCCTCTCCTGTCACTCTTCTCCAATGGGAGCTCCCTTTCCTGTCACCCAATTTTCTGTCACCCCTTTCCTGTTACCCCATTTCCTGTCACCCTCTTTCCTGTCACCTCTTTCCTCTGACCCTTTTTCCTCTCCCCTCTCCCCAAAAGGACCCCCCTGTCACATTGCCCCTTCTCCTGTCACCCCCTTTTCTGTCCCCATCTCTTTTATCACCTCCTTTCCCATCACCCCTCTCCAGGGGGAGTCCCTTCTCCTCTTTCCCTCCCGTTCCTGCCCCACATCTTCTGTCACCCCTCTCCAGGGGGAGTCCCCTCTCCTGTCACCCTCTCAGTTGTCACACCTTTTCCTTGTCCCCCTTCTCCTGTCACCCCCTCTGCTGCGCTCAGCCCCCCTCTCACATCCCTGTCCCTTGTCCCCAGAACCTCAAAGACGTCTTGGCCACCATGATCCCCAAGGAGCAGGCGAAGATCAAGAGCTTCCGGCAGCAGCACGGCAGCACGGCCATCGGGCAGATCACGGTGGACATGGTGAGTGTGCGGCCACACCGGTGCCACCGGAGCCACCGGAGCCACCGGAGCCGGGGCTGCCACCGGGCCCCGCCGCCGCCCCTCACCGCCGCCTCCCGGCCCCTTCCAGGTGTACGGCGGCATGAGGGGCATGAAAGGGCTGATCTACGAGACCTCGGTGCTGGATCCTGATGAGGTAGGACCCTGTCCCCACCCTGTCCCCAGCCTGTCCCCTCCCGTTCCCACCCGGTGACGCTCCCGGCCCCGCAGGGCATCCGCTTCCGTGGCTACAGCATTCCCGAGTGCCAGAAGAAGCTGCCCAAAGCTGCGGGGGGAGAGGAGCCACTGCCTGAGGGGCTCTTCTGGCTGCTGGTGACCGGAGAAATCCCAACCCAGGAGCAGGTACTGCTGGGAGGGGGCTGCCAAACGGCTGAGGGGGGGGCTGAGAGCCCCCAGACCCAGGAGGGGGCTGGGACACAGCTGAGGGGGGTCTGACAGCCCCCAGACCCAGGAGGGGGCTGGCAAACGGCTGAGGGGGGGGCTGAGAGCCCCTGGATCCAGGAGGGGGCTGGCACACAGCTGAGGGGGGTCTGACAGCCCCCAGACCCAGGAGGGGCCTGTCAAGTGGCTGAGGGATGGGCTGGCAAACAGCTCAGGGGGTCTGACAGCCCCTGGATCCAGAAGGGGGTCTGGGGGGGGGATCTGACAGCCCCTGGAGGGGGCTGGCAAAGAGCTGAGGGGGGGTCTGACAGCCCCCAGCCCTGGGAGGGACTGGCAAACAGCTAAGAGGGGGGTCTGACAATCCTTGGATCCAGGAATAGGCTGGCTAATGGCTGAGGGGGGACTGGCAAACAGCTGAGGGGGTCTGACAGCCCTCAGCCCCAGGAGGGGGCTGGCAATCAGCTGGGGGGTTCTGACAGCCCCAGGAGGGGCTGGGAGACAGTTGAGAGGGGGCTGGCAAAAAACTGGGGGGGGTTCGGACAGCCCCCAGCCCCACAGGGGCCTGGGGGGGCTGGCAATCAGCTGGGGGGGGTTCTGACAGCCCTCAGCCCCATGAGGGTCTGGCAAACAGCTGAGGGGGGCTGGCAATCAGCTGGGGGGGGTTCTGACAGCCCTCAGCCCCATGAGGGTCTGGCAAACAGCTGAGGGGGGCTGGCAATAAAACTGGGGGGGTTCTGACAGCCCTCAGCCCCATGAGGGTCTGGCAAACAGCTGAGGGGGGCTGGCAATCAGCTGGGGGGGGTTCTGACAGCCCTCAGCCCCATGAGGGTCTGGCAAACAGCTGAGGGGGGCTGGCAAAAAACTGGGGGGGTTCTGACAGCCCTCAGCCCCATGAGGGTCTGGCAAACAGCTGAGGGGGGCTGGCAATCAGCTGGGGGGGGTTCTGACAGCCCCCAGCCTCACAGCTCAGCCCCGGCGTGTCCCCGTAGGTGACCTGGCTGTCCCGAGAGTGGGCCAAGCGTGCAGCTCTGCCCTCCCACGTGGTGACCATGCTGGACAACTTCCCCACCAACCTGCACCCCATGTCCCAGCTGAGCGCCGCCGTCACCGCCCTCAACAGCGAGAGCAAGTTCGCCCGCGCCTACGCCGAGGGCATCCACCGCGCCAAGTACTGGGAGGTACGGGGGGGGGAGCTGCTGCCCCAGCGCTGACTTTGGGGGCTGCATTTGGGTGCGGGGGCTCGGGGGAGCACGGTCTCACCCCGCCGGTCCCAGTTTGTGTACGAGGACGCCATGGATCTGATCGCCAAGCTGCCGTGCGTGGCCGCCAAGATCTACCGCAACCTGTACCGCGAGGGCAGCGGCATCGGGGCCATCGACCCCAACCTCGACTGGTCCCACAACTTCACCAACATGCTGGGCTACACCGACCCCCAGTTCATCGAGCTGATGCGGCTCTACCTCACCATCCACAGGTGAAAGCTGGGAGCTGCACCTGGAGCAGCTGGGGATGAGGAGTAGGCGGGGGTTTGGCCCCGCTCCCAGCCCCAGGGCCCCCCAGGCCGGGGTGGGGCTGAACCGGGCTGGCAGCGCCCTACTCCCCACCCCCAAAATGCTGTGAAAGGTGTTTGGTGGGGCTGGGGGAGTCCTGATGGCCCTCTGGCCCCGGCAGTGACCACGAGGGAGGGAACGTGAGTGCCCACACGAGCCACCTCGTGGGCAGCGCCTTGTCTGACCCGTACCTCGCCTTCGCCGCCGCCATGAACGGGCTGGCCGGGCCCCTGCACGGCCTCGCCAACCAGGTGGGCACTGCTGCTGCCCAGTGTGCCCCTCTCTGTGCCCAGTGTGTCCCTCTCCCTGCCCAGTGTGTCCCTCTCCCTGTCCAGTGTGTCCCTCTCCCTGTCTGTCCCTCTCCCTGCCCAGTGTGTCCCTCTCCCTGTCTGTCTGTCCCTCTCCCGGTCACTCTGTCCATGTCCCTCTTCCTGTCTGCCCTCACCTCTTGTCTGTCCCTCTCCCCGTCCATGTGTTCCTCTGTCCCTCTCTCTGTCCATGCATCTCTCTCCCTATCCAGGTGTCCCTGTCCCCATCCCCATGTCCCCCTGTCCCCCTGTCCCTCTGTCCCTCTTCCCGTTCCCTGCCCTCACCGGGGCCGTTCCCACAGGAGGTGCTGCTCTGGCTCACGGACCTGCAGAAGGAGCTGGGCAAGGACGTGTCGGACGAGAAGCTGCGGGATTTCATCTGGAACACGCTCAACTCGGGCAGGGTGAGCCTGGGGGCTGTGCTGGGGCTCGGGGGCTGTTCCAGGGCTCAGGGGCTGTTCCAGGGCTCAGGGGTTCCAGAGGTTAGGGGTTCCAGAGCTCAGGGGCTGTTCCGGGGCTCAGGGGCTGTTCAGGGGCTCAGGGGCTGTTCCAGGACCAAGACAGGCTCTGAGCCCCCATCCCTGCAGGTGGTGCCGGGCTACGGGCACGCGGTGCTGCGGAAGACGGACCCTCGCTACACCTGCCAGCGCGAGTTCGCCCTCAAGCACCTGCCCAAGGACCCCCTGTTCAAGCTCGTGGCACAGCTCTACAAGATCGTCCCCAACGTGCTCCTGGAGCAGGGCAAGGCCAAGAACCCCTGGCCCAACGTGGATGCCCACAGCGGGGTCCTGCTGCAGGTGAGCCCAGGGTCCTCTGTCCTTTTCATGGCTGTGTCCCTTAGTGCTGTCTGTCCCTTTTCTTGTTAGTCTTTCCTTTTCCCTGTCCATGTATCCATTTGCACATCCACATCCCTCTCCCTATTCTGTCTGTCCTTCCTCCTGTCCATGTGTCCCTCTCTCTGTTCTCCATTCTGTGTTACTCTCTCTGCCTGTCCCTTGCCCTGTGTGTCCTTCTCTCTGTCCCTCTCCCTGTGTCCCTCTCTCCATTCTCCTTTCTGTGTGTCCCTCTCCCTGTCTGTCTGTCCCTCCTCCTGTCCATGCCTGTTTGTCCCTCTCCCTGTCCTGTCCATCCCTTCCCCTGCCCCACCCTCCCTCTCCCACCCGTTCCTCTCCCCATCCCTCCCTCTGTCACCCTGCTGCTCCCTCCCTCTCCTTGTCCCTTCTCCTGCCCCGCCTGTCCCTGTCTCTGTGCCCTGGGGGTCTCCCGGGGGTCTCCCGGGGGTCTCCTTGCCCACGCCGAGCCCGCTGTCCCCGCAGTACTACGGCATGAAGGAGATGAATTACTACACGGTGCTCTTCGGGGTGTCGCGGGCCCTGGGCGTCCTCTCGCAGCTCATCTGGAGCCGGGCTCTGGGATTCCCCCTGGAGAGACCCAAATCCATGAGCACCAAGGGCCTCATGCAGCTCGTGGGTTACAAATCCACCTAAAGAAGGGACGGGGACAGGGCTCCCCCAGGGAACGCCGTGCTGCCGGGCCCGGCCCGGCCACCCTCGGCACTGAACCCCCCTCGGGGCCCCCCCGGCTGCTCCCCCCACCCGCCTTGGGGAGGGGCAGAGGCAGCCCTGGGGTCCCCCCCGCCCCCCAGCCTCACCCCCAGATCCTCTGCCCTGGTGGGGTGGGGGGGCTCCCGTGTGCCCCCTCCCCTCCCCAGCAGCTCTCACTGCGCACACTGGGAGCCCCCCCCCCGGGCTCCCCCACTGCTGGGCTGGGTGGGGGTCCTGAGGGGGGGGTGCAGCCCCCCCCTGCCCCTCTGCAGCCCCCCGAGAGGGGTTCAGTCCAGCCCCGTGTCCGGGCCCCCCGCAGGGACTCGATACACTCCTCCCCGGCCGCGCCCCCGGTCCCAGCAGCTTTTCCCCACCCCCCCCCCCAAACAAACCCCCCCCTCCCCGTTCCTCCCGGAGCACGGCGGGGCCCAGGCACCGGAGCTGCCCCCACCGGGGCCCTCCGGCCCGGCCGAGGAGTTTAAAAAGAACGAAAAAAAAAAAAAAGGGTTAAAAAAAAAAAAAAAACAAAAAACCCAACAAAAAAAAAAAAATCAAGAACTAAACCAAAACTTAAAACCCCAAATCAGCTGCAAAAGCAGCTCCTGGGGCCGGGGGCTCACGGCAGCCCCGGGGGGCGTTGAGGCAACAGCAGCGGAAACGCACTTCTTGAATAAATATTTTTTGGGGGGGGTGGGCTCGGGGCGGGCCCGGCACAGTCCGGGGGTGCCCGGCCCGGCCTCCCTCACGTCTGGTGGACCTCGTGGAACATCAGCTCCCGCGGGATGCGGGTCTCGGGCCCGAAGTTCTTGGCCGCGCGGCGCTCGAAGGCGGCCACCATCTGCTTGACCACCTCGTCGAAGAACACGGTGGCCAGCTGGGAGTGCAGCAGGGAGCGGAACTCGAAGGAGATCTGAGGAGGAGGAGGAGGAGGAGGAGGGCAGGTGAGGCCAGGCCGGCGAGCCCCGAGCTCCCCGGCGGGATCCGGGGCGGGGTCGTACCGAGAAATCCACGGTGCTGGTGCGGGGGTAGCCGGGGATGCCGGGGCTGAAGCGCCAGTTGGTCTCCAGGTGGTTGAAGAGGCGCCCGTCGGTGCAGACGGCCTGGGGAGGGGAAAGGGGGTGCTCAGGGGGGCACTGGGATCCACCGGCATCCAGGAATCCTCCAGGATGGAAAAGCCTCCTGGATCTGGGATCCACGGGCATCCAGGAATCCTCGAGGATGGAAAAGCCTCCTGGATCTGGGATCCACCGGCATCCAGGAATCCTCGAGGATGGAAAAGCCTCCTGGATCCAGCCCAGCCTGGGAGCCCCCGGTGCCACATCCTGGACAGCTCCGGGGATGGGGAGTGCAAACCTCCCTGGGCACTTCCAATGCCCGAGAGCCCCTTCCATGGGGAAATTCCAACCTGGACCTCCCCTGGAACAACCTGAAGCTGTTTTCCTTCTGTTCTTACTTCCCTGGGAGCAGATCCTGACCCTGCTCTGCCATCAGGGAGTTGGGGGGTGGAAATTCCCCTCTGAGCCTCCTTTTCTCTAGGCAGCTCCAAAGCCTGACCACTTTTCCATGAGGAAATTCCTCCTCATGTCCTTCCTGAGCCTCTCCTGGCACAGCTCGGGGCCATTTCCTCCTGTGCTGTTATTCCCTGGGAGAAGAGGCCAATTCCCACTTGGCTACAACTGCAATTTTCCCCAAAAACCTGCAAATTCCCCCCAAAATCAGGGCAGGGCTCTGTTCCCTCTCCCCCTGGTGTTCCCTGGGAGCAGATCCCGACCCTGCTCTCCCCTCAGGGAGCTGAGGGGTGAAAATTCCCCTCTGAGCCTCCTTTTCTGCAGGCAGCTCCAAAGCCTGAGCACCTTTTATTCCTGCTGATGTCCACCCTGACCCTCTCCTGGAGGAATTTGGGGCTGTTCCTTCTCCTCCTGCTGTTCCTGGGAGCAGATCCCAACCCTGCTCTCCATCAGGGAGCTGAGGGGTGAAAATTCCCCTCCTGAGGCTCCTTCCCTCCAGGCTGAGCCCTTCCCCAGCTCCCTCAGGGCTGCTCCAGCCCCTTCTCCTGCTGCTCCAGCCCTTCCCCAGCTCACCTTGACGAGGTGGGGCCGCACCAGGGTGACGATGGAGGTGTAGCGCTCCAGCACGGGTGGGAACCCCACCTCCAGCTGCGCCTTCAGGTGCCCCGAGCGCCGCGCCACCACCACGGACTTCTTGCACCAGGGCACGAAGCTCTTGTAGTCCTCCACGTTGGCCACCACGTCGTACATCTCCTGCATGGAGTACCTGCAAGGGGACGGGCTGGGGCTGGGCTGGGATTGGGGCCGAGGCCCCAGTTGGGGTTGGAGTCAGGGCTGGGGTTGGGGCCGGGGTTGGGGCTGGGATTGGGGCTAAGGCTATGATTTGGATTGGGGATGGGATTGGGGTTAGGGTTGGGATTGGGATTGGAGCTGGGGTTGGGATTAGGGCTGGGATTGGGGTTAGGGCTGGGTTTGGAGCTGGGCTCAGGCTCAGGGCTGGGTTTGGAGCTGGG